ATAGCAAGTTGTTTTTATTTTTTTAAATATATATATTTTTTGACGGTGTGATATTAAACAGAGAATCATCTTTGCTTTAATATGGGGCAAACAAATGTTCTGTTAGAGTTAATGTGGTTTAATTAGAAGAACTCAAACAGAATCTCACAGAAAGACAGACTGCACTCGCAGTGACGCTGTCCCGTCATAGCAGTCTCATCGAAGGAGAGAGTTTAGTGACTAAACTCTGTCCTAAAATTTAGTCATTTATACAAAGTTGGACAGATCTGTTCGATAACAACGCTCTAAACACATATTTAATATAAAGTTATGTTTTACAGACCAAAGTCTCTGATAGTTCAGGAGTAAAGTGCAGGAGGAGATGTCAGGACTGATCGCTGCAGTCGCTGCTTCAACCAAACATGCTCTCACTGAAAGCCCCGCCCTGCCCTGCTCTGCTCTGATAGGATACAACAGCGCTGGACTTTGTTTGATTTGTTGAAGGCAGTGTCTGTTTAATCCTTATATCAGGGTCCCACTGTCCTTAGAGGCTTGGTGAGCACCGAACAACGATCCAGTCACACCAGTGCGGCTGGATTTTTTTTTTTTTTTAAGAAATCAGGTCGCATTTGCGACCAAACTGGTCGTACTCTAGAGCCCAGCTAGCTGTTGTTTTGACAGACAATCAGGTACAAGCTTAGGTACGCAAGTGAGCTTCATGACATTCCATCTGGTGTGCTTTTTCTTTTTTACCACGCATGCGCACCTGCGCACCTCTTATGTGCAACTCTGAAGATAAACCTTTATTGTCATTGTACAGAGCACAATGAAATTACAGTTCAGAACACACATTCACAATTTTTCATACACTCAAAAGAAGTGGACAGAAGTATATTTATATTAGCCCACCTCTTCTCCTGCAACCTTATTCCCATCACTTCTTATTCATCAAAATAATTATTAATTACTTAAAAATGAATGCATCCAACAAAACCTTTTATACTTGTGACAGTTTTCTTTCAAGATTAAACAGTTTAATTTAAAAGTTTGTCCTTAAAACCTGTTGTTTATGTTGCAAAATGAAATATCTATCAATAAACATTTTCATGGAATCGAATCAAATCGAGATTAATCGATTCTGAACTTAATGAATCAAAATCGAATCGATTTAGAGAATTGGCCATGATACCCAGCYCTAATTCTGATACCTCTCATAATTATCATGTTACTTTTTTATTGAGTTTTATGAGCACCATATTTTTTATATTTTAAATTGCATTTCCTCCCGTCTCTGCAGGTATAGTGGTGGGTGTGCCTTTCATCCCTCTGACCGTGTCACTGTCATTGTGACAAAGTTTAAAATTTTAATTTTAGTTTGTGGAGCATTTAGTTTGTGCATGACATTTTGATCAAACATCTAGTAATGTAGAGTTCTCACATCAAAATTTCCATATWGCATTTTCATATAAAGGCTTTTATATTTTAGTTTGCGTCTGTTGTTATATCTTTGGATATTGCCACCAAGTATTGTAAACATTTATAGCCTGAATTGTAGGGGTGTGGTAGAAGTAGTAGATAAATTTTTCCACTACTGATATTCCACCATTACAGTATCTAATCAGTATGTCGCTAAACAGAAAGAACAAATCACTCCCTTGAATTCCACACAGCTTGCAGTGTTTATCTAGGCCTTTAAATGAGTTGTTATCTCAGGGTGTGGATCCCCCTCCCCATTTCCATCCGAATCATCAGGGGGGTCCTGGGAGAGGGGACCAGAAGCTGACCTACAGTGAAGGGGACACAAACTTGTGTCCCAGGCCCTGTTTACATGTGAACTATCTGAAAATGTTAAAGATTTTCCAATGATGATTAAGAAAAAGTTGCATTTTTACATTGTAATGATATGATCACCATTGATATTTAAACAAGACTACAAACAATTGTTTAATTTCTGTAGTATCCATTAGGGGTGCACGATAGTTATCGGCCCGATATCAGGAAATTATGATGTCCTACTTATCGGTCAGATATAACAAACATAACCGATAAGTAGCAGCTTTCCATCCGGCACGATCCGAGCATCATTCATATTGCATCCGAAAAAACTACTTTCTCACCAGAACAATAATTAAAATACTCCGTGCTGAAAAACAACCAGTCATTTTAAGAATTATTAATATTATTTCACCAATTAACCCTGTGTGTTACACACAAACTTT